CAACACCAAGGGTAGGAAGGAACACGAGGAATGACCAACACCAAGGGTAGGAAGGAACACGAGGAATGACCAACACCAAGGGTAGGAAGGAACACGGGGAACGACAATAACTAACTAACGGCTGCTGCTGTAAGAAGATACAATGCAGGACAGGTGAGAACCATAACCAAATCAACCAATCACTAAGGACTCAGGGCATCAAGGAACAAGTGGAGTATATTACACTTACCAGGCACTAGAGACTAGGAAACAGGAACAAACACTGAGGGCTAACTACACTAAGAGAGACTAGCAACGTAAGTACATCAGAACATAATTAATCAAGGCACGTGCGGATAGACTATGAACAGGGACATAAAAGCAAAGACATAAATTAACCATATCACAAACTAGGGGAGAAAATGAGACCGAAGTATTAACCAAATCAGGCCAGAATCAAACTCACGACACAAGGGCAGCACCAAAGGACATGGCCAGTGGGATCTGCTGGGCAAACAAGAAAAGACACACAGGGCAGAGCCAGACGCACACAGACCCTGACACAACACGCAATTCTAAAATCAGTATTTTACTGCACTCTTGAAATAAAGCATTTTAAATCATTTGAATGTCTTGTTTTATGAAAATAAACCTTTGACATATATACAACCACTTTTTTCCAACTAAATAAATATCCTCTTCAGTTACTTTTTTCAGACGTACAAAAAAAACTGTATAGATCAGTATGAAAAGCAGTGATCATTAAAGTTAATGAAAACCTATCATTCCCAGAGAAACCATTTCTTTCCTCCCAATCTATGTTAAATAGCATGCCAACCGCATAGCAAATCATTTTTCCATACCACACAATTGCTTTTCTATAATCCATCAATAGTTTCTGCTAGAGCTGGATTTTTTTTAATTATTTGCCAGCCAGGGCCATTGAATTTGTTTGTCATGACAAAAGGCCAGCATGTACATAAGCTTTCTTTGAAAACACCCCACAAATCCACACTTATCTGGCATATCTTGCTTTATTGTTTTATTTATTCCTTTTTGTGCTTTTAATAAATTTAAATGGCTTTTTCCTGCCTCCAGCTACAAAACCTGGAAGTGGTCTAAACTAGCTTATTAGCCAAATAAATACATTTACAGCTGATACAACAAAAATGAATATAGACACTAGCTTTCTTAAAGTATATATTTTATTTCAGAATAAAAGTCTGATGATGCCTTTGACTGAAAAAAAAACACTTGAATTTGGAAAATACATGTAATATAATATAAATGTTATGCTTTTATAATATAAATGCAAGTTATTTTGATCATTCGATAGACACTGCTTAGATATTATATAGTGTTTAAAAATTTACACATGGATCATGTTTTATTGACAATTTACAGCAGCGGTGGCCAATCTTATCCGCAAAGGGCCGGTGTGTGTGCAGGTTTTTGGGATAACCTGTAGGTCAGCTGTTCAAACCCAGGTGTGAGGACTCCTCAGCCAATCAGTCCTCTAATTAGTAATCTAATTAGGGAGTTGTAGTGAAAGCCCTTTGCGGACAAGATTGGCCACCCCTGATTTACAGTATCGGGTATGTAACAAACGTAAAAAAAGAATTAAATGCCGACACATCCTGTTTGGCAGTTAGATTAAATGTCGATTACCCGGGCCATTTACTTCTCTTTATTCTTATTTATGCAGTTACCCATTACTATGAGCCTGTTATATATCACATCATTTTTCTCTCATTTTGTGTACTTCCATGCTGCTGTATCTTTCAGAGAAATCTATCCCCCTTTCAAACACTAAGCCGGACCAGGGTCACATGGGAGCTGGAGCCAATCACAGTCAGCTTAGGGCACATGCCAGGGGTGTACTCTGGATGGGACACCAGTCCACTGCAGAGACGATTTAAAGATGCCAGTTAATCTAACTGCATATCCTTGAACTGCAGGAAGAAACCCACACAACACAGGAAGAACATGAAAACTAGACGCACAAAGTGTAGGGGGAATTCACACTCCCAAACAAGGAAGTTTACGGCGACAACGCAAGTCACTGAGGCACCCTATGTTAGTGTAATTGCACTAGTATACTCAGCACATGGTGGCATTAAAAGCTAACTAATGAAAATATTCCTCTTCTTACAGCACATGGTAAGACACATTACTGGGCACAAGCTAGAAAATGTTTCCAGCCACAATTACCAAAAACAGATATCTTTAAATCTGGGAAACACACTCATCATGCTGCACTCACTTCTACAGTTTGAATGTGCATAACATTAAAAATATATCTACAGTGACAATATGGGGCCATTCTTTCCTCCAACAGCCTCAAGGAATCAAATCACCATATAATCCATATAATCCATATACATTTCATCAGACATACCCTGTTGTGTCTGTAATATCTTATGCACAGTATGGTCTCTGAGGCTGTTGGTTCTTTGTGGAAAACAGGAACCTGAGGGCTTAACGCGGAGTGAATCTTTCGACCTCAAAGTATCACTAAACCCTGCCTCGCAAATACAGAGTCAAGATTCAGCTACACTCTATGATGTGTGCGTGTGTGTGTGTGTGTGTGTGTAGTGGACCAAATTAAACTGGGGAGCAAATGAAATTTCTAGAAGGAAATGGACACAGCACAGTTAACCTGACTGGACTAAATCCCAACATACTTTTGAGGTTTGTACCGAAAAGCACAACCCAGGAAGGTACAGCAGCTGTGGACAGAAGAGGCAGCAGAGCGATACGGAACTGCAGCCTTTCAGCAGAGCTGCTGTTATTCACAGACTGTACCATCTCTAAATATTCTACAGGGGAAACAAAGTATAATATGAGAAATGGTGAGAAACAGGACCTGGCCTGACACAAGTGCATGGAATCCTATTAAATATGATATTTTATTAAACAGTAGGTCCCAAGTGATTTATAGTGGACTTCATTTGCCTATTGAGGTGAAATGTTCCCTTACACCTGCCTTAATTTTTAGAGAAGCAAACTATATGGACAAAAGTATTGGGACAGCTGGCCATTACACCAACAGGAACTTTTATGACATCCCATACTAAATCCATAGGCATCAATATGGAGCTGGTCTCCCCTTTGAAGGTATAACAGCTGCCACTCTTCTGGGGAGGGTTTCCATAAGATATTGGAGTGTGTCTGTGGGAATTTTTGCCCATTCATCCAGAAGGACAGTTGTGAAATCAGGCACTGATGTTGAATACAGTATGAAAGTCTGGCCTCACAATCTCCATTCTTGTTCATCCCGAAGATGTTCATTGGGGTCGAGGCCAGGGCTCTGTGTGGGCCAGTAAAGTTCTTCCACACCAAACTCACCCAACTATGTCTTTATGGATCTTGCTTTGTGCACTGGGGCATGATCATGCTGAAACTTCCCCAAACTTTTCCCACAAAGCTGGAAGCTTAGAATTGTCCAAAATGTCTTGGTATGCTGAAGCATTAAGAGTTCCCTTCACTGGAACTGAGGGGCCTAACCCACCCCATGAAAAAAAATACCCATACCATTATTCCTCCTCCACCAAACTTTACAGTTGGCACAATGCAGTCAGGCAGGTAACGTTCTCCTGGCATCTGCCAAGACTTGTCCATCAGACTGCCAGATAGAGAACCGTGATTCGTCACTCCACAGAACACATTTTGTGCTTTACACCACTCCATCTGACATTTGGCATTGTGCTTGGTGATATGAGGCTTGCATGCAGCTGTTTGGCCATGGAAGCCTCTTCCATGAAGCTCCCAGTGCACAGTTTTTGTGCTGGGATTAATGCCAGAGGAAGTTTGGAACTCTGCAGTTACTGAGTCAAGAGAGCGTTGGTGAGTTTTACAAATTACACGCTTCAGCATTGGGTGACCCTACTCTGTTATTTCATGTCTTTGCCATTTTGTGGTTGAGTTCTCGATGTTCCTAAAGGCTCTTTGCAATAATACCACTGACTGCTGACCATGGAATATCTAGCAACACGGCACAGTTAGAGATGAATGGATAGGGGGGCTGAATCTTTACTGGGGGGGGGAGGCACCCCTGTCTAGCAGGGCAGAAATTTCACGAACTGACTTATTGAAAAAGTGGCATCCTATGACAGCACCATACTTGAATTTACTGAGCTCTTCAGCACGACCCACTCTTTCATAAATGTTTGTTAACTTCACATCATGACCTTCGGCAACTGGTCTGAATGAAACACCTGAATTCAATGATTCAATGAAGAGATGTGGTCCCAATACTTTTTCCATATAGATAGATAGATAGATAGATAGATAGATAGATAGATAGATAGATAGATAGAAGCAAGGCTGGTTGTACGCAGTGCAGATAATGAGTCTAGGGGTTGATTAATCACACATATATGCGACTATAAGTGATAGCGAGCTAAATTCACACTAGTATATCACATCATGATTTTTAATGATATTTCGATTGCATTTGGGCACGTGGGATGGCGATTAGCTTTTTGTTCTTGTATGCATACTTATATTTATAAGCGTACAATTAAAATCGATGAATACGACCACCCCTACCCCCCTACCCCACATACACAAACACACACTTCCTTGGTGGAAACTAACTACACGACTCATGTGGTTTCCTATATAAAATGCCAGCTCGCCATCTGGACACAAACGGACTACTTTACATTATTCTGTTCATATGTTTCTCCATGTTCATAAGTTTAGCTCGTGTGTGGTTCTATCTCTCACGTGATAAAAGCCGGGGTCACATGACCGGCTTCCCCAAACGGCTGCATTTCCGGGTTATCGGCAAGCTGCTGAACTGGGAGAATTGGAGATGTGCTGGCTGTGGGTGACCGTCTTACTGGCTGCCGTAGTAGCCCAGCTAGAGGCTGTCCGTGAGTATATTGATGCATAAAGTTACACAGATAGAGGTCGGTTGTCTCTTTTTGTCCGAGACAAAATGTGAAGGTTCCGGATTTGTTTGAAATTTGAAGCGGGAACTACTTTGAAACAGCCGAAAACTTCTACAAAAATACCTATTGCAGCTGTTGTCAAGTACTTGAATGCGTATGTTTGGCTCCATAAATTCTAGAAACTCCGATGTGTTTTGTTGTGTTTTTTCGCTGTGTCACGAAAATTTTACATAAAATCAGTTTAACTAGTACACTGCATTTTCTTTTTACGTCAAGGGGGGGGTTGTAATTTGCTCATAGAAGTTGTTTACTACCTGTTTCAGGAGATGAGTTGCGCTTTGCCTCCTATTATGGCGATCACATGGTTCTCCAGCAAGCTCCAGAAAGTGCTGTGCTGTGGGGATATGGGGCCAGTGGTTCAAAAGTCGTCGTTACTGTGACAAACGGAACAAGTAACCAAACGAAAACTACCTATGTGAAAAACGGTGAGTCTGCTGTTTAACAGCGGACCTGGAAACTGCAGAGTACCTCTTACCACTAGCTTCTAGAACTAGACCACTTATTCCAGTGTTTCCCAAACCAGTCCTCAGGGCACACTGGACAGATCCACATTTTTGTTTTAACCCACTTCCCAGCACACTTGTAAGCTGTAAGGTATTTAGAACTCCTGATTGCTTGGGTCAGGCGTTCTGGGAAATGGGATAAAACGAAAATGTGGATCTGTCCAGTGTGCCCTGAGGACTGGTTTGGGAAACATGGACTTATTCTACATGATCAATATATGGGAAATGTGCGTATGCTATTTGATCACTCTGCTTTTTAGACATCAAGTTACAAAAGTTCATGCAGTTCTGGACACTTCACAGATATTTGGACAGTGACTCTTGAGCCCGTGAAGGCGGGGGGTCCCTACAGTTTGGTCGCCACACAGATCAGCAATTCCTCCATGACTGTTAAACTGACGGACGTGCTTTTCGGTGACGTGTGGCTCTGTGGGGGCCAGAGCAACATGGCTTTTACGGTCTCTCAGGTGATTGTGCTGCCTGCACTTTCTACTCTATGCGTGCAGTTAATAATTACTCAATTTTGTGATCAGGGTGTCATGCAGACTCTGCTCTTCCTACCAGGTGATCAACGCGAGCGAGGAGTTGGCCCAGGCTGTCAAATACCCTCACGTTCGTATTTTCACGGCCGCACTGGAGAAAAGTGAGGTGGAGCTGTTAGACCTGCCCAGAGTTGATCTTCCATGGACCGTACCTACTCCAGGTGAAACAGTCGTCTTGAATTTTTTCCCCTTCTTTTTGTAGTATTTATGGCAGGGTTGTGTGGCTTGGGGGTTGGTTGTGTCCATGATCTTCGGTTCAAATCCCAGAGATGGCAGTGTGATTTCACTATAGAGCCCTTACCAGTGGTGGCCTGATGGTTTGGGAAGCGCACTTGAGAGCACTGACAAGGTACCACCCCCAAACACTCGCTGCTCCCCGGGTGCTGAATTAGCTGGCCCTTGCTATGTCACAATGTCACATATGGGTTAAATGCAGAGGACACATTTTGTTATTATGCATTGTGTGCTGCAGTGTGTCAACAATGACAATTAATCACTTTCACTTACCAAGTAATTTCTACAGGGTGTCGTATTGGGCAGTGGTTCTCAACCTTAATGCACTGCGACCCAATTGTTACCATGCCAGCTCAGTTGCAACCCTATATGAAGTATAGGTTTAAATGATCACTTTGATACAGTGCATTCTTCAATTTACGCCAGCCAATGCCTATCGCACAAATCTGATTGGATGTGCCAGTGAATTTTGAATTAAGGATCTGCGGTTTGGCTTCCTGGATTGGTTGAGTGCTCACTAGTTTGCGTTAAGCATTTGCAGACCCATTTATATAGGTTAATTCTAGGATTGTGGCTGGTTTTAAATTGATTACATTTTACCTCGTGAGCCTCTCAGTACTTGCTTTGACCCAGATTTGGGACGTGACCTGCTGGTTGAGAATTGCTGGTCTTAGGCCTGCCAGGCTGACTCACATCTTTTTACTTATAGGTGAACATTCACTCCTTTGAAAATTAAGCATGTTTTGTTGTGTTGTCCCTCTTTTTACTACCTTTGGCTTTTTTTTTTTTATCATTTTCGTGGTTCTTTAGCTGAGATTTTTAGTAAAATCAAACCAGAAAGTTTTTTTAGATGTTTAAAATTAGTTTAAAAATATCTTTAGATTGTTTTGACTGTTTGTAATATTGTCTAACTAGTTATAAGATTTTAACCTTTTTATTTGTTCAGTCTGTTTTCTGTCCATTGAATATAGCCCTGGTTGTTGGCATTGGCTTTATGTCAACTTTGCTAGCTAAGCACAAGGCCCTTAATCCCCAAATGCTCAAGGGACTGACTGACCCTACTTTCTCAATAGTATAAAAGCTTCTGATAAATAAATTTAATTTAATTTTACCATATAATGGTTTTTAGTTCTAGACAGTCAGCATCTGCTGCTCATTTTTTCCTCCTGTATGTTTAACCTGTGATGATTCCATAATCTGATGGTAAATCTTATGATCGTTTTCAATATGGAGGCTAGTTCACAGATCTTTGTGTTACACGCGGCTCGTCCCACATTGTGTACGGTGTGAGACAGATTGAGATGGTGTCTAAAGGAATGAGAGGAGACCTGCAGGTGTCAGCCTTTCACCAAAGATCTTTCAGATGCTACAAAGTGTTATACAGTGCAGTACAAAAGAATGGAAGAATATTTAGTATTACTACACAAGAAGTTTTAAAACTTTTCATCCGGTAGTTGAAATCAGACTCCTGCATGGTTTCAGGTAACCAGCAAGTTTTGATGGAACAGGTGGAAAATATCCTAAAATTCAATTTGCGGGTACAGGTGTGGTCAGAAATTAATCGGGCACATGGGTGGACCATGGCTCAAAATGGCAAACACGATTTAAGCAGGCTACCCACATCCACAAGTGTGTGTTTTACGTTTTCAGAAATATACAGTACTGTGCAAAAGTCTTTGGCAGTCTAAAGTAATGTTTAAAGCTGTTTAATGGGTCGTAAGTGCACATTTTCTCAGAACAAACACCATTTAACATTAGAACATATGCAAATTAAGAGTAACTCAATAAAATCTAATAATTCTTCTGTTCCCCAGAAAGTTACTGATATCAAGTTGGATGGCTAGATGAACACCGCTTTGGTTCCTCTGCTCAGGGGCACCTCATCCTCTCCATGTATTTATTAAATTTCACCACCAGCTCATTTAATTAATTTTTTCAGTTTAAGAAAAGCCAGTGAGATATTGATTAGCTATTGGAAGTTTACTAGTGGTCGAATCGTCCAATGCGCCCATGTATTTTTTGATTGCTGCAAATTCTGGGGTGATTTTAGCAGAAGTTTTGAAACAGCGAAGCTAACACACTTTAATAGGCATAATAGCATAGCTTTGCACCAACATGAAGATCATTTAAACATCACTTTCATTGGCTGCCTAAGACTTTTGCACAGTACTATATATAAAATTGCAGCCTGTTACTTTTAAAATACGTGTTTGCCGCAGAACTGTGGTCTACCCATCACTATTAATTTTCCACCTACACCCGTCAGATCTAACAATTTTTCTTCTGCTGTTAATTTGATTTGGAGGCATAAGTCTCATCAAATTGTGCCTTATGCTACTTTTTAGCCAGACAGTTAAGCAAGTAATATCTCTCAGCATTTTGAGTCGGCTTATTAACTATAGATTATTTGTCACCGACCGTTAAATGATGGTAAATGATTTGGAATAACACAACTCAGATGAAACTGACTTTTACAGTCTAGTGCGGTAGTTGTTGTTTTTAAAGTATTTTAAATGGATTCACATATGCAGTTTTTCTGTAAGATATTACGGAGCACCTAAAGGGACTTAGGTAATTTATATATACATATTTTTGCAGTATCTGGTGGGCACCAGATACAGTAAAAAATAAATAAATAAAATTAATCACCTACCTCCCTTTAGGGGCTCCGTAACATATAGACAGTGTATGTTTGAAAAGCTGTACATATGAGCCATACAACAAAGAGAAATAAAATGTTACAATTGACTTCCTTTTAAATGACAGTGTTAGTTTGCAGATGAGTTTGATGGTGTGAATGTGATTAAGGCGCATGGTGTGGGCAGATTCCCTGATACGGAGTATCTTCTCTTTTTGAGTTGCATGCTTTATAACCTGCCGGCTGCTTCTGGCGCCTTCGCCAGCGGGATCGCACCGCCGACAGCCCGGCCTGCGTCCTACCGCCAACAGCCACGCTGACGGTCATTGTTTTGACAGCGGATAGCTGAGGCTGTCTACCACGCGCTGCCGTTGATACGCTTGAAGAACAATCTCTTCCGCATTTTTCTCCTTTTCACAAATGTCGTGTGTTAAATATTTTGACATGTTCACTAGTGAGATAAGCCTTCTAGTCTATGCAAATAGGCATTGGGGATTTTTGACTGATTTCTGCGTATAGTTATTCTGGTGCCTAACCGTATATCTCTGCTGTGATATTTCTGTCTTCCTGAATTAAACATCGTTCCTTTTGAAAGTCATGTTATTGTGTTTATGATCTTCCCCATTTTGAGTAACACTGATCATGTTGTCATTTAAGTAACATTTTATATTTCTTCTGGGTTTTTTAAGAGTCTGCATAAGAAAACATTCAGGTCACAGGGGTGAGAGATCCGTAAGCCTTTTTTAAACTTAAAAATTCCTCTTCATTCTGCTGAATCTGTTAATGCACAATGAGTAGAAACACTAAGTGAAAATATTTGCCAAAAATGTCACCTTCACTCACCCTAGCAACAGGCTTCAAAACCGACGTCAAAAATGATGAAAGGTGTGACCAGCTGTGGTCACTTTATATCTAATAGCATTATATAATAATAATTATATAACTTCTCATTTATTGTCTGCACTTTTGTCTTAAAGTGCATAGAAATGATGAACTGATATTGGCTGTAACATGCCCAGTGTAAGATATGGTGAATACAGTCCCCCTTCAGGTTCACAAGGGCCGCAAGATCCCTGCAAATGTGAAAATTCATGAGTAATACTTGGGGCCGTTATTCAGAATTCATTATTATCAGCATTGAAAAGTTTGAAAATTACGGCGGGGAATGTGAGATTCCACGGTCACAAAGACCGCTAACAGGCTGGTTGCCAAGACAAGCATGCGCGGTATCCCCCGGCAGACAGAACATGTATTCCTCAGTTCCGTTTTCTTTTCTTTTTTTACACCAAAAAATAACGTACAACATTAAAGATATAGTATGTGCTTATACTAACAAATATTAAATAAATTTATATGATCCAAATCATTTTCAGTATTTCTGTCATCCAAAAATATTCCTGTTTAATTGTTTGCAGCCAACTGGTGAATGATTGAAACTGGGAATGTCAAATTTGCCAGTCTGGAGGGGCGACTCTGCACATGTCCTGGGGCGACTCTGCACATGTCCTGGGGCGACTCTGCACATGTCCTGGGGCGACTCTGCACATGCACTGCTGTGTTTCCAGGCCCAATTCCTTCCCTCCGTTCTCATGACGTCTGTCTGTTGGGCAGAGCTGCTGGGCCATGGCAACTTCACCTACTTCTCGGCAGTCTGCTGGCTCTTCGGCCGCGACCTGCACCAGAACCTGGGCTACCCCGTGGGGCTTGTGGAGTCCTGCTGGGGGGGGACGCCGGTGGAGGCCTGGTCGTCCACCAGGGCGCTTAAGAAGTGCAGCCTTGCAGGGACGAAGGATGGGTGAGAGTGACGACACTGCTGCAGAGAGCTTCTGCCTGCCAGTGATTTTAGTGCAATTTCTGGAACTCTGGGGCAACATAACCTTTCTTTATATAGACTAAAGTGCAACATAATTTAGTTCTGAGGAATATGTTGTTTTTAATTGCAAACTTAAATTTAGCTTGAAAGACTATTTTAACATCTATAGTTATATAGTTCTATTTGTGTCTGATTATTTTTACCTGAAGAATGCAGGCCTTGTGACCATTTTGTGGAGGTGGGGGTGCATCATCATATACATCCAGGGTTTACACCCCACGTCCCCTGTTATTAATTATGTGATGGGCTTGACCCTAGCCAGCTCGCCATTGGTTCCCTCGACAGGATGCCTTTAGTTGAGCAGGTGTGGGAGAACACGGTATTGTGGAACGCCATGATCCACCCACTACTCAACATGACAATAAAGGGAGCCATCTGGTATCAAGGTGAGAACGTCCTGTGAGGAGCTTCCAGCCCCTTAGGGGTTTTCTCCAGGCATAAATCCCAGTTAACAGGAAGTGTCTTGTTCACCGATAGGTGAGGACAACACAAACTATCACCAGGACCAGTATAATTGCAGCTTCCCCGCCATGATCGATGACTGGAGGATGGCTTTTCACGAGGGGTCGGGGGGCCAGACAGCCTTAGACTTCCCTTTCGGATTTGTACAGGTGCTCCGTTTATGCATCCCGACTTGGGGGGGCGGAGTTGGCCTAATGGTTAGGGAAGCGTTCCTATGATCGAACAGTTTCAGGTTCGAGTTCCCGACCGCCAAGGCACCACTGAGGTACCCTGAGCAAGCTACCGCCCCCAAGCACTGCTCCCCGGGCGCTGAATTAGCTGCCCCCTGCTATGTCACATATGGGTTAATTGCAGAGGACACACTTTGTTGTTGTGGGCTGTAGTGAAATATTGTCATTGTCGACACACATCTGGCAGTCTCGGCACCAAATAATCAGTCAGTGAGCTTCCACTCTGTGGTAGTGAATCCCCACTTATATTTTACCTGAAGTACCTTAGCTAGTGTCCAAATAAGGTCTCCACTACTTTCCTGGGGTCACTGAACATTGGTGCCGTTCCAAAAGCTCCTGAGGAACGCTGCTGTGAGGCCTGTAGGTGTCCCCTTATCTATGTGGCTGTTTCCTCCTGACCGTCCACAGATCTGCACTGACCAGAAGCATTCTGTGAAGGAGGAGTTTCCAGAACTGCGCTGGCACCAGACGGCTGATTACGGCTTCGTGCCCAATCCCCGCATGAAGAGGACCTTTATGGCGGTCTCTCTGGACCTGCCTGATGAGGAGTCACCATGGGGCGGGTAAGAGTGTAAGGCATAGTAAAAAGTAACTTCACTAGTTCACTAGAAGCATATGGAACACATACATCTGGTAAGCTATAAATGAATATATAATGAACAGATACTCAAAGCAATCTGTGTATTCAAGCAGCTGCTTCCTGAATGTGCTCTGTGGGTCATCTGTAAACCCTGATTTAAGAAATCCCCTAGTGCATTTGTTTCATTGGGAAATTTCGTATGCATTTTGAAAGGTGGTTCCTTTTTGTATTATGTTAGTTCCTCCTGCTGTTTATCAGTTTAAGTCCTTAATGCCATGAAAAAAAACATTAGCCAGTTGCATACTGAGAACTGTATGAGTCAGAATGCGCACACCAGGAGCCAAGCAGCAAGAATGCTCATTTTTATGGATTAGAAAATAAGTGTGTATTGAGGCAGCTTCCTGCAGTACCACAGTTGAGGTACAACTGCACTGCAGCCTTTAGTTTGGCTTTGCTTCGAACACCCGCCCTAATTATTAAAAACTGATTCAGAAAGTGCTGTCTTAAATGGCTGCATTTTCAGATTTAAGTCCTGTTTGATTTTTATGTATATTGTTTTGTTTTTTTTTTTCTGTACTCTACCAGTTAAAAGTTTTTGGCGATACTGAGATTTTCTACATTTGCGTGTTACTTAACATTTACTAAAAATACACTCAATATTCTTGGCTAACAAATACATTTACAGTATGTTCACCATTTGAGTACCTTTATTAGTAAGAAAATGTCACATCTTTGATTCATCAAAGTAACCTCCTCTAGCAGAGAAAATATGAGGCATTCTTTCTACAAGGGACAGTAAATACTGCTCTGTTACATGGGATGAAACAGTTATTTAGTGCATTTAGAGTTAAAGGTCAGGCTAGAATTTTATTCTTGCTTAACAAGAATAAAAAAAAATCTGCAGTTTATGAAATAAATGGAAAATTAGTAAAAACTTGTGGTGTGTAAAAGCTTTTGACTGGTGCTGTATGTGCGACTGGATGTGTAACATCATGTCCTGACTTCCACTCATGTCCCTACCGCAGCATCCACCCACGCTACAAACAGGATGTGGCCCTCAGGTTAACACTGGGGGCCCGAGCCGTGGCCTACGGTCAGTCGGGCGTGTCTTTCCAAGGACCCTTCCCAGAAAAGTGCATCTTGGACAACTATCAGCTGAACGTCACCTTCGATAAGGCGATATTTTTCAATAAGTCCGTGAAAGAAGCCCTGTTCGAAGTGAGTCTGCATTACTCCCGGTTCTCGTTAATGTGAAAGGAGTCGATTCGGGTAAAGTGTTGGTTTTTGACGCTCGTTCTTCTCGGTCTGTTGAGGTCTGCTTCTCTGAGGGCCAGGAGTCATGCAAGCCGTCCACAAACTGGACGTCGGCCCCTGTCACCGACTGGGACCAGAACTCTGTCCTGCTAAAGGTGGGGGAATATGCCGGTTCTGTGGCAGCTCTCCGTTACGCATGGAGGGACTGGCCCTGCGATCTGAAGAGCTGCCCGGTCTACAGCGCCGACAGAGTTCTGCCAGCTCCCCCCTTCATCCTTCATCGATGGCCGCAGTAGGATTGGGGGAAAATGGCTGCTAACGTCTCGAGATGACTAGTAATGATGATCAGGAGAATGATTTTGATCCAAAGAATATCGCTTGTTTATGAAGGACGACCAGCCGCCCGTCGCTAAGGTCACCACGCATTCTGATACATGACTGTGCCAACTCCGCTGCCATTTTCATCTCTTCCTGATTTCGGTATTCATGGGTCAAATTTTTGCATTCATGTTGCGATGCTGTAGTAGAGTTTCGGCGCCTGACCCTCTGACTGTTCGAGTGGTTTCGGAATTCCGAAGCAAAATCATCTTCTTGGGGGAAAATTAAGTGAAATTGCACTCCTGTTTTTTCCAACGGAAACGGGAGGGCAGGGGTTTCATCTTGAGCCAGAGAAGACGGAAATGTCTTCAGGAATCATATCTTTATCGTGATTGTTTCCATGATTCTTTATATATGGCCTTTCTTTAGCGTTACTTAAATGCGGTGTGTGAAATGACACTTAATGACACTGGAAATGTGTGGAGAACAGCACTTTACCTCCTTTAAACCTCTGTGTGTTAAGGTGAAATAAATGACAGCTTTTGGAAAATAGTATATCTGATTTTGGGGGGGAGGTGAAGCGACCGTTGTTTTTCAGAGCTACGTAGTGGATAACGACGTGCTTTGAGAGGCATCGGTATAGTACTTAATAAGGTTAGAATAGTTGGATTATTATGATGGAGCTGTTGCAGTGGATTATTTCTTTCCACAGCATATTCTGTAAACCAAGCTACTTCACTAGATGCAGTAAATATTTCGGTCTGTAGATGGCAGTGCAGTCTTACTTAAGTGAAAAGAAGCCTTATTGAATTGTAGTTATATTAAAAGGTAATTAGGATTAGGGTTGCTATTTAGGATAAAGCTAAGGTTTGGGTTGGATTTGCCTAAAGAGTTGAAGTCAGGGTTAAGGCTCTGCCATATGGGCACTTTTTTGACAAATGCAACTAATCATTATAGCTTGACAGAATAGTTTAAACATTTTGGTTTCAGAAACTCAGATTTCCTCAAATTCAAGACCAGCAACACAAAATGTTTTGCATAGTTTATTAACATCCGACATTACCTGATTAACAGCAACAGAAGGCACAGAGGGGTATGTTCTCATTTGCTTACACTTTGTGTGAAACCTCAATGTATGGGAAGGCTTTTGATGGTATATGGTGGGGTTTAAGTTTTTGAAAGCAGCAATGGATTGCCTCATCAATTTGTACGCTATGTACTTAAAGTAGCCAAGATGACTAAGAATCAATATTAATAAGGTGGTGATATTAAAATTTTCAAGATTCTGATTTAAAGTAAGAAATACGGAATTCATGGCATAGTACCTGCAGCCATCTTAGAGAATCACCAAGTTCATTTTTTCCAGGTATGTTTTACTGGTGTCACCACTCTCAGAGGCAGGGTCCCCTCCACCCATTCACTGGGAGATTCCATCATTCGTTTCCACAACTTTGATTCATCAGCACTTGAGTCCATCCAGTCCACCACACTCTCGTAGCTTTTACCTGAATTGGCAGAGAAAGATATTTTTATTCATCAGAGATCCACCTGCGTGCAACATCACTGCAGAGTACCATACAACATCACTGCAGAGTACCATACAACATCACTGCAGAGTACCATACAACATCACTGCAGAGTGTACCATACAACATCACTGCAGAGTGTACCATACAACATCACTGCAGAGTACCATACAACATCACTGCAGAGTGTACCATACAACACTCTAGTTTCCTCTCTCAGTCCAAAGACAAGCGGCTGGGGAATTAGGGATCGTACAGTGTGGTATGTGGGTGTGGGCCCCGTACTGGACTGAGATTCCGCTCACAGTGAACCCTCGCCTTGTGCTCTGCGTACTGGATCCTTGTGACCCCATCCAGGATCAGCAATTGTAAGAACGTGACACTGGTTATGATGGGATGGTGAAACACGTGAGGCCCCGTACATCCGGCCCTCAGTATGCAGTATACTGCTAGTGAACCGGTGACTGGTGTCACTGTTAGAAAAGCATCAAGATACAGCGCCACCTTGAGGAAAACTTTGGAAACACAACTTGATAGCTTTGGCGATTACATTATCAGGATAAGAGAGGTGATCGTGTGAGGTATTAGTAGCAATGCCTAAAGGAATGCCGGTGTTTACCAACACGTATCCACTCAGGGCCACAGTTACTACAGTTACGACTATATTACATAAACGTTCCTTATTTAGGAGATGCTGAAGCAGCATGTTCTGCTAACCAGCTAGCGAGCTGCCATCTTCTCACTCCACGTGCTAACCAGCTGGCGAGCTGCCATCTTCTCACTCCACGTGCTAACCAGCTGGCGAGCTGCCATCTTCTCACTCCACGTGCTAACCAGCTGGCGAGCTGCCATCTTCACTCCACTTGCAAACCAGCTAGCGAGCTGCCATCTTCTCACTCCATGTGCTAACCAGCTGGCGAGCTGCCATCTTCTCACTCCACTTGCTAACCAGCTAGTGAGCTGCCACCTTCTCACTCCATGTGCTAACCAGCTGGCGAGCTGCCATCTTCTCACTCCACTTGCTAACCAGCTAGCGAGCTGCCATCTTCTCACTCCATGTGCTAACCAGCTAGCGAGCTGCCATCTTCACTCCACTTGCTAACCAGCTGGCGAGCTGCCATCTTCTCACTCTACGTGCTAACCAGCTGGCGAGCTGCCATCTTCTCACTCCACTTGCTAACCAGCTGGCGAGCTGCCATCTTCTCACTCCACTTGCTAACCAGCTAGCGAGCTGCCGTCTTCTCAATCCACTTGCTCGCTATTTAATAAGTTTTTGAAACTGAGAGGGAAGTCCAGGGTGGGGTTTTGAAATGGGGCCCCAGAAACCAGAAAGTCGCTGCTCACACGATTTTTGGCACAAAGCCGGGAAAGAAGGATGATATTGATTTCAGGGAGACTGGTTAAATTAGGACTTTAGTGTAGAATTAGTCCAGTGAGAGAAGTATTCACGGTTAGGGTCACTCGCCTGATCCCAGGCTCAGCCTCAGGCCTCCCAGGAAGTGGTTAGAGAGTCGGTCATGGTCCCAGACTGTGAGCTCAGCGCAGGCCTCTAGCAAGTCACCCTCCCGGAAGCCGTCGATCACCATGGTGTGGTTAAACACGGGATTGGGCGTTCTCCTCAATACCCTGGTCTTCTGGCGACTCTTTCTGCTAGTATCTGGAAATATAAAACTACAGAACCCCATATCGCTCTGAGATGCTGCATAGTTCATTTCCATTCAATAAGCTGAGGCTCGTTCGGAAACTCCGAGGTGTCATTAAAACCTTAGAACATATGAGTATTTCCACTGTCTTTATCACCGTATTTGTAAAGATGTCAAAAAGGATTTTCATATTATAGAGTAGCACACTGGTATAAACTGAAATTATTGTGTCAGATTTTTTAACAATGTGAAAGGGAATTAAATATGACAATGATAAGGTCTATCTACCATTTAACAAATGGGTCCACAGTCGAACCCCTGATGATGGGTAGGTTCTTGCATTCTTTCACCCAGATGTGTACTTCACCACTGTTGGATACTTGAATATCTAGCCAAGGGAGACCAGCATCATGCATGTACACCTCATGTCCTTCTTAGCCCTTATCAAATTTAACATAAAGACATCCATAGACAGAAACAACATAAAATTATTTTACACAAATGGCTATATTATTGATTGTAGTACAGTTAGGGTATTTCATACGTAATCTCCCTGACATTTTAGGTTTAGTAAAGTCTTGTGTGCAAAATGGTATTTGTGCTCTGTGATCTGTACGCTCACAGACCTGTATCAAAGGCCAGGCGAACATTTTAATGTGCTCATAGTAGCTAATTGTGAAATTTTGTGCAAATCTCTTTACACAACATTTTGCAGAGCTGTTACTGGGTAAACGAGAAAGGTTGCGTACCGGAAGCGTGAGTAGACATCGTGGAATGTGTCTCTCTACTGTGAGCAATCTCGGGCAGGAAGCGAACAGCTAATGTCATCTCTCCTCTGTAATCCGAGGGCTGCAGTTTGGAAGTGATCTGGAAAGGAAAGCTCAGGTTTTCTAGAATGTTCATTTCCCAGCAAACATGACAATCTCACGTTTGTTTTCTTAAATCCTAATCTAAGAAATGTCTCTGCAGATCAGATTCTGAGGCAAGTATGAAAAATGTAAAATTATGAGCAAAATGTAAATTATGAAATAAAAATTATCCTAATCTGCCCTCGTCTTCATTTCCTTACCCTTGGTTTCAGGGTCATATTATTCATTGGTGTGCTTCTGAAATCCCATGTGGATAAGTCTATGTCGACTTCGCCAAGGAATCTATTCCGTCCAAAAGTGTCATTGTGCCACACAGAGAGATTGAGTGTCTGAGTTTGGATGATGGCCAGACTAGCTCGGTACTGCGGGCAAGATAACAGGAACACTGTAAGTGCAATCTACAAAAAAGACATCCATCCGTTTTCCATAAACACTCCAACACAGAAATGTGGTGAACCTGGAGCCTATTCCCCAAAGCAAAGTACCCAATGCAAGGGACACCTTGGATGGGCCAGTAATCCACCTCATGGCACATATACACACTGCATAGTGATAACTCTCCATACTAATAACACTGCATAGTGATAACACCTCATAGTGATAACACTGCATAATAGCAACTGAAGTGATGACACTGCATAGTAATAACACCTCATAGTGATAACACTGCATAGTAATACCTCATAGTCATAACACTGCATAGTAATAACACCTCATAGTAACACTGCATAGTAATACCTCATAGTCATAACACTGCATAGTAATAACAGGTCAGAGTGATAGCACTGCATAGTGAAACTCTTACCCTAAGAAGTTCATTGAAAGTTGGATTTAGTGTTTTCTTCTTCACTGACGTTTTCCTCTTTCTCATCTTTGCTTTGTCCGGTAAGAGGTAACTTTTTACATATCTAGGGTTGCATGCACAGTTAAGTTTGAAACAGTAAATAAATACATATGACAGAAAGATAAACCTATGGGGAGGAAAAGTGTTCATCAAATTTTAAGGTTTAGCGCATATGCTGAAAGGTGTAACAATCCTATAGAAAACTGATCTACCAAGAACTCTTGTAATAAATGGAATAATTTCATATAACGTAGTTTTAAAATATAAACACATAATGTAATTTAGATCTGTCAAAGTTTGGAAATCCAAGCAGCTCTCCAACAACAAGTAGCAGGATTCATAAATGTGCTCACGGGTCAGTGCGGTTTTTCTTTTGGTCTGCGACTGCCAGGTCTCCGCACTGAACGATGAAGATGTGCAACTCCTTCAACTTCTGCTCATAGCTGATGGAAAACTGTATGGTCCCTCTGACCTCCACCAGAGTGAGGTCTCCACTGTAGAGGCTCACCACACTCTCGCTCACCTGCTCAAGAGGAATTTTATAAATCCATATAAAAAAAACAAGCACGTTTTAGCTATATTTCTACAACAGTCACAGTCAGAAAAATGAATAAGCTAATTTTTCTGTTACAAGTATACTAGTACCTGCAATCCAAGAGGAATAAAAA